GGGCTGTTTAATCAAAAACTGTTTTATACTAAACATTTTATTTACATTCGGTGGGGTGACCAACTCTCGTCAAAAAGTATCTAATACCTTTTTCTTTTTGTCGTAGAATCAATCGTTTTAAGCTAGGAATAGTTCATAAAAGTTTAAAACCAATTTTTCAAATACCCTTGGTACACATTTTTTAACAAGAGTGGACCTCAGAATGTAAGAAAAATATTTGGTGTAATTTTTTTAATATTTTTTACTTTTCATCAAACAGACAAAAAATAATGATGCCTGATTTGCAAGATCTAGTTGTAATTTACACAATGTTTATATTATTACTTTTCACAAGTTTTTCAAAATTTGTCAGGCAGCGCATACCTTCTGGGAGCGAGCGTATTGAAATAGTTAAATATTCAGTTCAATGTAAGAAATTAGAATAATAATTAGAAATGCCTACGTAACGTAATTAATTAGATAATAAGTATTTACCTTATGAAAGCTGCTGTATGCGTCACTTCATAATATATTTCCTAAAGGTACGTTTACATCTGACATATATTGCATGAGATTTATGTCTGACAATTGTTCAGTCCAGTGTAAACACACAAAAATTTCTCTCGGAGATATGTTTGAGTGTTTACACTGGGTTGAACAACTGTCAGACATAATTCTCATGCAATAAATGTCAGATGTAAACGTACCATTAGTTTATGTAACAAATTATGTTTGTAATAATATAAATACGTCTTAAAAATAAGGGTACTACATCTACTTACCTCTTACTATTATTTTGGGTTCAACAATTTCACTACTTTACTGAGGCTCTTTCCACGGCACAGCAAATAAATGAAATGGATGCGCGTCCGAGCTCTAGTGACCGATTCGAACAGGAAGTTTCGTTTTTATACCACGTACATCTCGTAAACACGCATTTAAAAGTAATTTTAAATAAAAAATGTATTTGTACTTTGTAATTGTACTTATGAGAAGTAATTGTATTTAGACAATTTAAATAATATAATTACAAAGTACAATTCCTCCACATATTTTGCTGCTGTTGCAATTCCAAATTACACGAAAAAAAAAGTATTAATTACTTTTTAACTAGGAATTACCTGCATGCTGTCGTGGAAAGGTTTTCTAAGCGACGAGTTACCTAACTGGGGTCAGTAATGACCCCAGTTCAAAATGCGAAAGATTAAATTCAAATCACGTTTCAAATACATTTACATCCATGTCTTCGTGATTATCCCAGGTCTTTCGTGATTCAAAAACAACTTTAAGAAACCCGGTATGACTGCGAATAAGCGTAATTTTTAAACGACGTCCTTTACCAAATTCCGTAAGAATGCATCTTTGTGATGTTTAATTTCTAAAGCATTTTGTAACACTACCCTTGTTTAACCCTGTTTTCGCCTACATAATAAAAAGGTAGGCTGAGAGTGGTGTACACACTACTAGTGAAATGTAAGTGGAAAAGGTACAAAAGTGTGTAAAAAAAATTAAGTTTTTATTAAAAAAATAGGCTAAACGCTTTCGGCTCAACAAAGTCATCTTCAGAGCCGTCGCCTATGATACCTTCAACATGAAATCAATTAGATGAAACAGAATTGACAAGCGTATCTATTTGACAATTAGGAGGAATAACATTTTTTTCAAAAAGGTGAAATAAAAAAAGGTTTTATTCTTTTTCACCTCATTAGGGGATACCCTGTTATCTGACATTTAATCCTGTTTTATTTTACCTAAAAAAAAAAAAAAACAATTTTTTTGATGATGAAAGTTTATTTAAAAATAAATTAGTTTTCCTACAATCGTTAACTGTTAAAAATAAATAAGTTAAACGATAAAAAAAAAACATTTAAAATATCCTTAAAATTTCGATGAACCAGATTTTTTCACAAGTATTAAAAATAATGTATAATAATTAATAGAAATAGATCAAGAGTTGCCATCAAATTAAAATATTCGGATTCCAGAACCACCAATTCTATTTTTCACATCTAAATAGAACGTCGAATTTATTAATAGAATAAGGTGTTTGTTAAGTACATGTTAAAAATTATGGCGTCTATAGAGTGGGTCAAATTAATTCTAAATCACAAATTTTCGATGTCATAATATAATATTGCAATAAAAATGCATAGCTGGACTGCCTTAACATTTGAAGGCTCAATTAACGATTTTTTTTTGACGTTGGTTCTCATTAAAAAACTAATTTTTAAACAAAAGTAATACCTATACAATTATAAATTCTAGAAGAAAAAAAAAGAATATTGGAAGTTAAGGAAATTATGGTATTAGTTTCCTTATAGAAGACAGCTAAAAAGAAAAAGATGAAACACTGAGTAGATAGTACAAACCAAGCCCATACATTTAAAGAAGAAAACACAAAAGTGACACTATACAAAAAGTACGTTTTTTAAATTATTGAATTTTTAACCTTTCTGGTTAAAAATTACCTATTTTTAATAAGAATCATAATTTTGATCCCTACTATAGACACTGGATAAGATACATTGTCCTTTTTTATTAAAATTTAAAATATATAGGTAAATAATAGTATATACACAAAAAAATAATATTTAAGTTACAACTCTGAGATCACTGGTAATTTAAATTAGTTTAAAAATAAGTGCAAGGCATAGAACTTTTGTTATAATGTATAAACGTTACAAAATTGTTTTATAAAATGTTACTACATAGATATATTTAAAGTGTATAAAAACCTATAACTAGGCACGGATATTAAATATAGACGATCTCTTCACATCTTCAGGTATGTGAAAATTTTATATGGACGTTCATTTATTTTTTATCTTTATATTTTCCTAAATTGAAATAATTTAAAGCTGAATAAAACGTACATGTAATTTCTAATAAGTACAAAAAAGTTTGTAGAAAGAATAACTTTTATTAAAATCAAATGCATAAGAAAAAACAAAGATCAAAAATAATGAACAAGTTCATAGCAACACGTAAATTAATGGCACTTTTACTGGTCTTGTATTAGTCAGTCTTAAAAATTTAAACACCATTTCCAACCTATAAATTAAAATACAAAGTGTTTATCTATAAATAAACACAGTTTAACAACTTATAATTTGATAATGGAAAAAGATGTCGATATGCAGTTTTCACTAGACTTCATAAATATACTTCCTGTTTTCGTTAACATTGTTGCCACATGTAATCTTTTTCTGGACAGTGCCGAAAAAGTTATTGTTAAAATGTGCTAATTTATAGATGGACACCTTGTGTGAAGATTAATAAATTGATATATTAGAATATAAAGTACTTTTTGCAATTTATAATAAATTTCGATATAAAAGTGTTTTTATAAGTGTATATTGTGTGCTAATACAAAAACCTACGTAAATATTAACATTTAAGAGAAATTTGGATAAAATAGCTGTCATAAGGCACAACTAGGCAAATTTATTTATATCTACTACGTTTTTCACTGTAATAGCTGATAACACATTTAGTTACCCATAAAGCAATCATGTCAAGTGATTCATAAACTATGTCACGAAACGTTTCCAATGTGTCAAGAACAAAGAAAACAAAATAAAAAAAAACCGCTATTAGGCATTCGAATGACCTGTCAAACAACAGCTGCCAGTGAGAAGAGCTCGTATATCTAAGAAAGTTGCGACAATCTTCCATCTTGGACGCTATTTTTACTTGAAATAGTTGTCGCCAAGCCTGGCAATTTATGATAAAAATGTGTAAGCGCTTTTTTAAAAATATATTCATTGTGTTCGATATAAAATATTTAAATTTAATATATTATTCATTCACGTATTTTAGATAGAATACATCGTATGTTACAACCTCGCAGATATATCAAAGCTTCCCACTGATATTTCTTTTGTTTGGAATGCCTAATAGCTGCCAGCGGGAAGGGCTCGTATATCTAAGGAGGTTGCGACATAGTCTTCCATTTTGGAATAATTATTTTAACCCAATTTATTATTATACCTATAGAACAGAATGTAATGGCTAGAGTCGGTACGTCTCTGCGTACAAGCGACCGCCTCGCTGATATCTCTAGTAGTTGGTGTTTTATGACCTTTCAGCATTTATGTTTCTACTTTACAAAAGTTTGGATAAAACATTTGCTTTATTACAGGGTATGTATACATTATGTATCTAGTGTTTTTAAGATCGCTGATTATTATATATAAAAAAATAGCCTTTAATAAATCCTACACACTTAGGTACTTTCCCGGATTTTTCTGTAGATCTGGGGAAATTCGTAGAGTAGATCTGGCAATACCGCACCGCCTGAAACGATGGAAAATACGCCTAATAAATAATTAGAAATTTGACAAAAAAAAGCAAAACCGCCTCTCGAATAGACTTTCCAAATCGATAGAACACTCTTAAGGGGCAAGCGGAGGGTTCAAAGAAGTGGCGATTCGTGGCCTACTCTACGGAGGGGGCTATTTTTAAAAGGCACTCAAGATATAAAAAAATTATCAATTATCCGATAGGTAGTATTCCTCTAAGTTAGCCCATTTTTGATTTATCCTACCCTAAGTACCTGTGTTCTACCACTTTTTCGTCAAAATTAATGTTATGTGCAATAGTTTTGTCACATTTATCTTCCAATTCGTTAAAAAACTCTAATTCGTTTAAATAAATATTTTCTTGATTTTATTGTACACTTGCCTTGAAAATCGTCTGTATATGAACTCTTATCTGCCTGAGTAAGTTTTAAATCGGGAGTAGGGCTTCCCAAAGATGTAATATGGCATTTTCAGGCATTAAAAGACTTGAAATAGTAGTTTGTGGGGCTTGATCATTTGAGTGCGCGATATGAATAATCCATCGATTTTTACAATATATTTTTTCTACGACTCACTAACGAAAATCTACAAATTTTAAAAATAATTTATGACTTGTACTAATAAACTTAAATAGAAAATTAATTATTCTCCAATTGTAGATTTGAACCAGAGACATTTGACATGGCAGTTAGACTCCATTGACAAACCTAACATTGTTTTAATACTCCTAATCAAATTGATTTCTTAGTTTTATTAAAATTTATGATTTATTTGTAAATATAGACCTATATCTTGTGAAATGTAATTATTTATCGATTCTTCACGTAGTATAACTCATTTTTAATTATATTTAATTTCAGTAACTAAAAAATATACTGACAATTAGATTGACAAAATTTTCACTTATTTAAAATTTTAAAAATAATAGCCAAATATGAACAATAGATCTTTTAGGTTGCAGTGATTTAATACCCCATGCTCAAAATAACAAGACTGAAATTTTTGTACCCCTTACATGTAAAAATTCCGTATCTGACACCTACAAGCGGGACGAAGTCTCCCGATCCGACCGTCCGAATACGTAAATTCAGGGCGTAATAACTATTGAATCTGTCGGCCAGCAACATCAACTAACGTAAAATATATTGAACACCAGGGACGCACTGCCAAATTATAATTGGAACAAGTAAATGGAACCATAACGTTATATTATTTTAATAAATATAATATGGGTAAATAACATTTTATCACTCTATATTGGTCTAGATTTATCTAGATAAATCCTCAACGAAACATCTAATTAGTTATTTATTAGGCGTACTTACCATCGATTCATGCAGTGCGATGTTGCCAGATATATTCTACAAATTTCCCCAGATCTTGGGAAAAATCCGAGAAAGTGTACTCGAGTGGCTTACCTTCTACACACTTGAGCTGCCAAAATTAATTTCACTCACTTGCAGCGAACGGTTGTAGGAAAATTTAGCGCATGAAACTAAACGTAAGCGATTTGATTTTGTGCTTATTTCTACCGACTAACAAAAATATAACATTTGTTTCAAAAATAACTAATACAGCTTTGAAATATTTCGTTGCTTAAAAATAACAATATAATATATTTAATAAAAAATATAGTTTCTAGGTTTTTTTTACATGGAAGTGTTTTAAGTACCTCTCTGCTCTTTCAAGGCAGTACATTTCGGGAAATGATATTCGTAGTTTTAAGTACAAATTGCCTACTCTTTAAGTAGGTGATCGGCTTCTCCCTTTTTTTGTAAATTACCCGATAACGTCGGATCTTTACTAACCCGTTTTCTTTTAAAGAATCCGCATTTATACAGAATGAATATAAGAAAAATTAAAAGGAATAATCCCACAAAAACTGCACCTCCGATAACGACCCAATTCAATTCCGTATCGCCTGAAACTATTTCTGGATAAGCGATAGTTTCTGCTGAAAATTCCGTTATCGATTCACTACTGATATTGAACGATTTATCTTCAATGTCAACAGTTGCTGTTGATCTTATTACCACCCAATCTAAATTGCTGTAATCTTCAACTAAAGTAGAATTCCAAATTCTAGATTTTATATCTATTTCGGCTTGATTTTCTTTAGTTAACTTTCTTATCGTGCAAGATATATCTATGCATTTGGCAGTTCCTGAATAGCAATCCATAATTACTATTTTTCTCTTTTTCCCACCTCGTTCGGTTATATTATGCGGTACCACATAGTTTGCACTCCTTTTTCTTCTATAATGGGTTGTTTGGTTAAATTCGTCAAATTCGTTAGACATCATCAGGTTTTCAGGTTCATCATGGCCTTTAGACATGTTAAGCGATAGTTCATTAGGTTTCGTGTCTCCTAATAATGTACAATAACCTTCTATGTTGACTCCGTATAATTGCGGTAAACTTTCTAGGTAAAGCAGCCATTTGCCTGGTCTGTTTGGACGAGCCGGTCCTGGTGATACTTGTAATGGCCATTTGATGGAAACCTGAAATAAAAGTTAATAATTTATTTCGGAAATTTACGGTTAAATATTTATTTTTGAAATTACTGGATTTTATCTCATCAAGATAGTTAATTGTTGTGTAATTCGTAAAATTTTATCTGCAAACAACTTAATCTTATAATAAACTTTCTTTGTACACAGAAAAAGTAAATTTTGGCTGTTAATATTTAGTTGATGAAACACATTAATTTATCTCGAGTAATAAAGTGATAAATAATGAAAAATAATTTTTACGCAGAGCACACTTTTATAGATCCACATTTTTGCAAAAAAAATCAATTTGTAAGAAATTTAATTTAATGAACATGTTAATATTATTGTACCTACTTAAATGAATTTAGCAAAAAATAATTATATAAATTAATCATTAATCAAAAAGGAAACATTTATCTACCTAGTAGTCATTGGCAAATAGAAGGTTTTTTTTTAGCAAGGTTAAAACATTGAAGAATATCAACCAACAATAATAGTAATTTTATCAAACCAAGAGAGAATTATGTAAATTATTGTTACTTCTACAAAATAATAATGTTCTCCTGTTGTAAAATATTAGCATTAGTTTTATTAATAATTTGTGACTTATTATTAGATTATAAATTTTGGATGAGCAAGCACATACATCTAAAACTACTTAATATTGAATCAGAAGCGAATAAAATATGTTCTGAGAAGTCATTCATAATATTTCATGGTTGATGAATAACATGTCTACTGATAAAAATAATATAAATGATATCATATTATAATATTTGCTTATTGAGATTAAGGGCGACGTCTAAACATATCTGGACAATTTATGGAATTATTGTACAAAATTGTTAAAAGAAAATACTTAAAACGTATTCTAACTTTATATTAAATTTTTAACTTGCCACTGGTGTGAACTTAGGGACTAAATTTCCAGAAATTGTCGATCTGTCAGTGGCATCGTATTTATTTACAGAACTATTTTAACAAATGTATCATGTATCCACTACCCTAATAAATGTAAAATGAAAAAAATAAGATCATTGATACAACTATGTATACAGTGTGTAACAGCCAAATGGAATAAATTCAGTAGCTCAATTACTGTGCTTATTTATAAAAAATCCCGAAACAAGTTAAGTTTAGATTATAAAATGACATCCTACAACGTAAAAATTTTCCTCTTATCTTCAAAGTCCTTCGAGTGACAGTTGCAACCCCCAAATTTGTTAATAGGTAGGAAGTAGGGGCCTGTGATACCGCATTTGAAAGGTATCTTCATTCTCTATTTAAAAATGCTGTATTTCAAATTTATTGCAAAAATTAACAGCAAAAGAAATAAATTAATTACTAATAGTTTCTTTCTTGATAATGTAAATAAAAAATAACAAAAACATCAATTTGAATATAGTAGATGTTCCAATCGTAAATAAAATTTTCTTCTAACATTAATCAACATCTGAGGCGTGATCTATGTAATCGCAAACGTTATTCTCGTCTTAAATCAGCTAAATCGCGTGGTTTATATATTTTTCACACATCCCCATAAAAAAAAATCTAATGGCGTAATGTCGAATGATCGTGCTGGTCATTCTATAGATCCTCATATGCCTATCCGCCGATTTGGAAATATTTGTTTGAGGTACTGCTGGATATTGTTTTGGTAATCTGGTGGTGCTTCATCCTGCCGGAACTATATCACATTAGCTAGAACGTGTAGGTTTGCTTAACCAGGATATAAATGTTCCACCTTTATTAAATTTCTTTACATGTTCTGAGTTTTCTGTGAGATAATCTCGGTAATGATAATACCTTATTGGACTTTTATTAATATATTTCTTAAGTACTTTAACTAGTTAGTTTACTTTGTATATATATTTGAAGAAGTTGTACTTCGAAACAATTGTCGTGAACAAATTTTAATTTTTAAAATAAAAGTGTTCCTATACCATAGTTAAATATTACATAAATAAAAATTTCCTTGGATTATTCGGTCATTGTTTTTATTTTCAATCGTTTAGTACAGCACTAAATATATTTCGAAAATTTATTTTTTTCCATCTTCGGGTGCAGTCAAAATTTAAAAAATTAAAAAAATTTTGTTTTTAAATTTCCGAAACATATATAGAAAATAAAAACAATGACCAAATAATCCAAGGAAATTTTAAGCTATTGCATAGCTTTTATCGCGGGCTTTGAGCGTGGCGACCGAATCAAGAAATTCCGTAACGAAAATAAACCTAACACCCCCCACTCCGACCAGCACAGCGGTGCGGCGTTTTGAAAGCCGTGGAAGGTTTTATCCGACCCTATTCGTATTAGTATGAAGCGGAGTTAAATATACGTCTGCGGACTGGAACGTTTATGCAATACAAGAAATAGAAGAACTTTATCTGGCTTCTAATAAATTGGTATCACAAATGTTCCCGGCTGGCGTAAATATTAGATATTAATTTTTTTTGCAAGTTTTATAATAGTATACTATGCAACGATCATGTAATAACCATTACATGAGAGTTGCATACGCTATTTTTTCTACACCCGATAAATAATCAAGACCTATAAATATTATATTTATATTGGTATTGAACACAATAACAGTAATTACTCGTATTTCTATAAAAAATTCTACAAAATTGTAATTAATGGTATTACTTCGGGTATTGGTATTTCCCTAGATTTTTGCGGCAAAATATTTTGTACTGTATTTTCTGCTTTCTCCGATATGTGTGGAGGAGTCTTCTATATCGCTGATATCAGACATTTTAATATTATAATTATCGAAGTTTAGCTATCTACGAAAATTTAATACGTTTTGACAACTAAAACAATTATATAGGAACCTAGAACAAACGTCAAACAGCATGCTTCATTGAAAAATTGTAGTTTTATATTGATTAAAAATCTGTATCGTAATGAAAAATCTGTATCATAATGGGTATCATTATGAAACGGATTATGGGCATATAAGTGCATTATTATAATACGGGTGTAGAAAAAATATTAATTTTTATTTTATCAGTGTTAACTATTTCATTATTAAGCTATTGCACAGATTTTATCGCGGGATTTGAGCGCGGCGACAGAATCAAGAAATTCCGTAACTAAAATAAACCTAACCCCTCGAAAAATCGAATAAATTGAAAAATCGAAAATCTAAAAATGGAAAAAATGGAAAAAATCAAAAATCGAAAAAATAAAAAAATGGAAAAATCGAAAAAGAAATTCCGTAACGAAAATAAACCTAACACCCCCCCACTCCGACCGGCACAGAGATGCGGCATTGAAAGCCGTGCATCGTCGTCTAACGTCGTTTCAGTTCGGCAGACTTCGGCACGGTGTTTGTGTGCGTGCGACTAGACGTATGCGTGTAGACTAGCTGCTAACTGATTCTATCTCTTTTAGACACAATTTCGGAAAAATTGAATTTGAAAATGAATAATGATCCACAAGAATCCACAACAAAATATGGGACCACCATTGACGCAGTATTTTCCAGATATTTAGAGGATATCTCAAACTTATGTTTCTTATTTCAGTTACCATAAACCTATAGTTTCAATGATAAAAATTCCTGAATAACCTACATGTATTGTAAGATAATAAAAATATTTTAAACAATATTAACTTCTCACTTATTCAATAAAAGAAAAAAAATTGTTTTCTTATCGGTCACCACGATCAAAAAGTGTAACTTGAATTAATATCAAAGAAAAAACTTGAATTAATATCAAAGAAAAAAAATACTGCATAAATAATAGTATATTATTTAACGAGCGGTAATGAATCACAGCACTCGCCTGCGGCTCGTGCTGCAAACTTCATCTGCGTGAGTTATGACCATTACCGCAAGTTGAATGCTATACTTTATCTACGACTATAACAATAAATACTAAGATACAAGTATCGAGAAAGAATTATATAATTGACAATATGATAAAAACGTTTAAATCTTTGTAAAAGCTATTACCTTTGTCGCCAGATATTTCTCATCAGGAGCTTTATTTATGAAATTATTAAGTTGTTCTGGCGTAAATGTTTTTGCCTTTTAAGCTATATGTTTTTCTGATTGACGTTTAAGAAACGCACGTAATTTTGAGTAATTCTCTATATTAATTCCATTATTTATGTTGATTGTGCTTCTTAGCAAGGAGTAGAAAGTCCATAAAGACGATGATTTATATTTATTGCTAAGTTCATTAAAATATGCCAAAGGTACATTTTCTGTAAACGAGTTACACCAATCTTGAAAATTTTAGTACACACCTTTAAACTTGTTTTTTGATTTTTCTGATAATAAATTCTGTATTGCATTATTAGCTATTTCTCTTATTTCTGGAAGTGTACATAATAACTCATCTTCACTATCTAAATTCATCTTTTTTTAGCACTGTTATTAGAAATTGATTTGAAAACGTCAAAATGCGCTAGTTCAGTGTGATGTCATTTTGGTTCCACTGACATTTAATTCTAAACAAACTTTTAACAAAAACATCCATAAATTTGACATATACGTTCTTACTGTTTTTAGTTTATTTCTAAATATTGTTTACAGGTCATAAAAATAGTTGAAAGGTATGTACATTGGTAACTAAACGATTGTATATTTGATACATGTTATCTACTTACTTTAGGAATATATTTCTACAAGTGAAAAAACGATATAATTTAGGTAAACACAACGAACAAAACGCACTCAAAAAATCTACTGTCACTTTAATTGTCAGTGGAACCATAATTACATCATCACTGAACCAGCGCATTATCTTGTTAAAATATCAAATGACATTATTCCCATCAACGTAATAATTGACTAATCCGCCTACTGAGAGGCGTTGACAATTTAATAATTTTAAAATCTAATAATTATTATTCATTCCTTTCCAGTTGTTAAAAAATCTTTCTAACATTTTACGCCAATGGAACATTCATCGACTTTAAATTTCCAAGAATTTACTGCGCACACTATTTATATGCCGAATTATCGTAGGAGCCCAGCGTGAGTTATAATAACT